GGGGGGGGGGGGAGGGGGGGCTTCTTTTTATTTTCTTTTCCCCCATTCTGAAGATCTGGTGCTTTGTGCCACATCACATTCAAAACATTGGCACAGTTCAACACTTAACACTGGGGGCAATTCTTAAAACAGATTTGCAGATATCTCAACTTAAACATCTCAGACTGAAGAACGCAGGTAGCAACCTGTGTTCTTGCGAATGTGACAGCTGTGGGGGGAGGAAAACGGGGCTGTTTGTTTACACTTGAAGAGCAGTTAGGTGCTCAGCCAGATGAAATGCTCGAGGTGTTTCTGTTGTGCATCTATGGTCCTACTTGTAATTTTGGCACTAAGGTGCTATGCCTAAAGCACGTAAGCTAGAATGCTGTCTCAAATGATTTGCTCAGCCTTTTGCACCATTTGACAGCACCTGTTAGCGTAACCGACTCTGTGGTCAGAGCAAGAGGCTTGTGAAGCGCGTGGGCATACGGACAAGTTCCTGCAGACCTTCCAACCTGCAGTGCACCAAATGTGTGTCCTTCCTGTGCTCGCCATGTGCGTGGTGTCACCCTCTGGGAAAAGTCAGTTGTGAATTGCTGAGCCCAGTGCCCATGTGCTCTGGTTTACAGTGGCTTACAGGTCCCTGATTGCTGTGCAATGTCACCAGCACGCAGCAGTTACTGCAGAGTACCTGACTGCACAGCTTGTTTTCTTGTGCTCATTACGTGAGGTCCTAGTGCGAGACCTTCCAAGAGTTTTGCATTCAGATTGATAATGGGCACCAGGACCAGGCAAAACCCAACCTGATAACCAACCAGGCTTTGGTCAGGGTCCTTCCTCTGAGTATCTATCCCTGCTCAGGTGCTGTCAACTCTCAGCTCTGTCCACAGATACCTTTGTTGACAGCCTTGGCACAGCCCCCAGCAAACTTGCTGTACAGTAACGGACAGAACTGGCCTGGAGTTTCCTTGTACGGGTCTCACATTTCGCTGCTGTCTTGACTGCAGTCAGGCTAGACTCTGCTGAAGCAGATGTTTCTGAGGGGAACTTTCATGATGTTGTTGGGGATGTTCTGGGGTACTATGCTGAACTCTTTTTTTTTTTTTCTGATTTTTATTAACAGAATGCAGCTCGCAACTTCCAGGACTTCGACTGTCAGGTAAGACATGCAGGAGACAAGGATTCATGGGCAGACTCCCCATGGCCCATCAGTAATGCTGAGAGAGAGAGGTGAAAAAGCTCTCTATCTTAATTTTAACTCCTGTTAAGGTTTAATCAATAAGAACTTGAATATGTCCAGCTGGCAGAAACTGCCCTTCACCCTTCCATGCAGAGCACATTGTTCTGAGCTCTGAGGTGCGGACCTGGACTGCTCTGCTGTGGCTCCACAACATCTCGCTGGATAGCTGGGCTCCTGAAAAGCAGTTCCTTTGAGACATGCAATGTGCTGAAGAGCTGCAACTCTGTCACATCCCATCTGGTTCGCTGGCTAGGAAAGGAGGAGCCTGCATGCTCTGTCTGTTTGTGTCGCGAGGAAATAGAAGTCGACAAGCTGCTCCAAATACATCACCCCTGCTTTGCTGGGCCTGGGTCCTGACAAAGCTGTGGTCATCTTCTGGGAGGTTTTTCACCTGATAGAGTCACGTGGAGATGAGCCTGATCGCTCTGGTTGCTATAGGAATAATCCTTTTAGGGGAGTGGTTCCACCACAAGCATCCAAGACAGAGGACACAGTTTTTGTGAGGCAGAGCACAGCACTGAGGTTACGTGGTGTGTTTTGTAGAGCACAGGCTCATTTGCTCTGCCGGATACCTCGCTGACTTCCCGCTCAGCACGCAGCCAGCGGCTTTTGTTTCTCTTGAGCTGCAGGAGGCTGCTGTGTCTGTAGTGTTGTGCTTAGCACAGGACAGGCTCTCACAGCTGTATTACGCCAGTGGTGCGGCTAGGGGGTGGAGCTGTCAACATCACGTGATGGCTTTTAATAAAAGTCTGTTGATCTAGATGATTCCAGAAAACCTCCTGCAAGCCTGTGCAGAATAGGAATAGAATAAATACAGTCCGAAGAAACAGTTTGTATTTTTTCAATCTCTTGATACCAGACACTGAAAGTACATCCGTCTGGGCAGGCATGTGTCACTGTCCTGCTTTAGCTTGATTCATTGTGAGTTTTAGTGTTCTCTTAAAGCCTCTTAAGTATAAAAATAAATAATCTTAGCATGGTAGAACTTTAGTGTCTAGTCTTAGGAGCAGCAACAGTGATAGGCAACAATTTTTCTGTTTTAATAAAGGTAGATAATGTGTTTAAAACACCTCTCTGTACCATCTTGTCTCCATCTGTCTCTTGGCATCTTTTCCACCTCTGCCAGAGGTACAGTGTGCTCCCATGCTGGGTGGGGAATGGGTAAAAATAGGTGCAATGCTTTTGAGCAGGAGCATTGGGGAGTACCGGCACTGCCTTTGGGACCTGTCTGCCACGATTGGAAAGGATATAAATACAGTGCCTGAGCATCTGAGCGCATTAGCCTTCCCTGCAAATTCTCTAATGACCCAACAAAGCTGTGGGTTTGCCCACGCCCTGCTTGTCTGGGAGCAGGTATGGTCTTTGGAGCCAGAACGGAGTGGGAAGGTAGGAAGGAGTCCCTGTAACGGAGATGTGCCTTTCACTCTATGCTTTTCCTCTACCAGCAGAGCCTCTTTGGCCCTTCTTTAAAGAACACCTAAAGCTGAAGCTGTGTGAGCCCCAGAGCAGCCTGGTGCTGCACCGACTCGTGCACTCAGCATGTCGTGATGTCGTCGTCTCGGCTCCCTGTCCGCCCTGGAGCTGAGCTATGGGAAGAGCTGCTGAGCGGCCCTGCAGCCAGGGAGAGGGGCTCTCGGGAGCGCTGGGCCTGGGAAGGACATGCTCGTTGCTTCTCTGTACTTTGATTTAGATCAGCAGTGAGCTGGTGGCCATGGCAACAGTTGGGCAGGAGACAAGATGTTCCTTCCAGGAGCCCTCTTGGTAATTCAGTTAGAAATTATTATTTTTTTTTTTAGCAAGAAGTTAACACAGTGTCTCTTGTGACTGTCAGTGTTGTCCCAGCCTCACCTTCCTCCAGCATCTCTCCCTACAAGGTGTGGTTTCAGGGCACACCTGTCTTGGCTCCCATATCCTACCTGGAGAGTACCCCCAGGGGCTGGATTAAGTGTTGATTTGAAATCTGTCAGTGGATAGATGGTGTGTTGGGCCCTTGGATTTTCTGCCTCACTTGCTAATACCAGGAACAGTACTTAAACTTGAGATCAAGCTCTTCTGTTGTCCTGTGAAAAATTACTGCTGCTTTTTAATCTGGCAAAGCACGTCTGGCTGCCACATTCAGGCCTCTGTGAAAATGGTGTGTCTTTACTTACCAGCATTTGAGAAAGGGGAATTAAAAGTGAAGAAGCTTGCTACAGCTTTCAGAGAAAGGGAGATCCTGTTGTGTAAAGAGAGACTTAAACCCCCAGCTCAGCCTAAATGCTTTTAATTTGTCCAGAATTTCATAGAAAGCAATAGCCTTGGGGAGGATCTCAGTTTTATGAGAACAGGCACAAACTGGTCACAAATTCACGAAGGCTGATAACTCGAAGTTGGTTTCCAGTTACAGTGCAGTGAAGTTCCCAGTCAGCTTCTGGTAGTAGTAACATTGGCAAGGGACCTGGTGGGTTTTAAGACAAAATGTAGGGGGTTTGTGGGATGGATTATATTATCTTACAGTGTAGTGTTTGCAGTATGAGAGCGTGGCCTCAAGATGCATTTCAGACCTTTGTATTTTTCTAATAGTCCAAAATAAGCTGTTTGAAATGGAGATAGAGCTGTGGCTTTGCATGAAGCCAACCACATCCTGGGCTGTGCTTTGCAGCTCCCCAGTACACCGACATGCTGGAGGGAGTTCTGTATTGTTTCAGCAAGTGTTGGTTCTGTGCCCTTGACCATGAGGTGATTTGCTCTAAGTCCATCCCAGTTCCTTCCAGGGCTGACTGATGCCTCTGCAGAGCTCTGCCTTGGATACACCCAGAGCAGTAACACAGCTGGCCTCAGCATTTCTTCATCCCGCAGTGCCTCTAGGCCTCCTTCTGGCTGGAAGCTGGAGTTTCAGAATGTTTTCAGCAGGTGATCCATGCTTATGACTGGGAGAAGTGTTTAGTTTAATCCCAGCTCACAAGCATGTCATTGGCATGGCCACGGACCCTGAGTTGTGTAGTGCCAGGCACACACACAGGTTCCACACTCTGTTTTCTGTAAAGCTTTGTCATGTTTTACTTTTCAAGGTAAAATGCATATTTAAGGTTTGTAAGATCTTTCCTTCCTTTGGGGAAAATGAGTGATGCTGTTGTGAATTTCTATTAATTTCCTGGTGTGTTTGTTTTCAGTTTTGAATAACTTGCCAGGATCAGATCTGGGCAAAACCAACAGAGCAAGCTCCTCTTGCTTCTGAAATTTGTTACTCTGGTTACTGTGGTATGAAGAAGCTTTTAGCTTTTTTGATACAGCTGACTTTCAGATACAGGTGTCCTGGTTTTCTTAAACTGCTCATCTGCAGACAACCGCAATTCACCCTGACAAATAACAGATTGCCTGGGCATCAGCTGAAACAACCCCCACATAATCTGATAACTGTTTGCAATGGAAATAAAAAGGAGAGCTAGCATGGAGGCTTAGGGGTCTTTATCAATATGAATCTAGGTTATTCTCAGAAATAAAATGTATTAACCTAAATCTGAGACATACAATTTACTTGAAAGCTGTATGAACCCACATGAAATCTGGGCTTGGCTTCTTCTAATGTTCCCAGGCAGATGGTGGATTAAGTGGTCTGGGTTGCTGATGGACAGATGGTGTGGTGACCTGCACAGTTAATAGAGCTGTGCTTCTGCTTTTATTATTATCTGCAGACCCTCTTCAGCTGCTTTGAGAAGTAGGTGTTCTGTGTTAGTGTAAATCTCTCCCCTTTTTCCAGGTGATTTGCTGTAAATACCAATGAAGGAGTATGCTGATATATTTGTAAAGCTATCCAACTAAATCCGCATGATGTTTCAGTCTGATAGAAGCTAGCATTTGATCTGATCTCTAGCTAGTGCCTCCCCTCTGCTGCTTCCCACCCACATGAAGGGAGAGAAGTGTTTTGCTCTCCAACACACACCATGCAGAAGAGGACCTGGGATTTGGAGATGGCTCTGGGATGTGGCAGAGTATTTGCAGAAAGCTCACAAGGTACGGAAGAGGTGGGAATGTCAGTCCAGACATGCAGAGTTCAGCTGAAACGGAAAAGACAACACACGGAGGAAAGAAATTAAAGTTGCCCTGTACAACAGCTTGCTATGCATTGCTGGAATTAATTGAAAATGTGGAGTTACTCTGTTTCCTGTGCCCAAAGTAAACAGCAAAGTGTTTGAAGGGTTAACAACAGACCTCAGTGAGACATTTTGTGCCACTTTTTTCTACTGAAAGTCTAAGTTCTCAATAAGCTCATGTTTTTACTGATTAAATTTTGGAGAAGTTCTTCCACAAGTATGTTTGTTTGAAGCATTTAAATCTGCATTTGTAAAAGTTTGCTTATCCTTGCCCAATCTCCTTGTGCATTTGCTGATGTCATAGGCGTTCAATCAAAACTGTGTTCTTTTTTAATGAAATCATTAAAGCCAGCTTGTGATTGCTGCACAGTGGCATTGAATACAAGATGTTTTAAAGCATCGTCTGTTTATTGTAATGAAATAACATGAAAGGTTAGCACTTTGAGGAAGAGTTAGCTTTCTCTGTATGAATAACAGGGGAGCTGTTCTCACCAGCATTGAATTATTTTGTCTAGGATATTGAGGACCATTGTTCTTCTGATTTGTACAATGAGTTCTTTTGGTCTCTTGTTCAAAGTCCTGGAGTGAAATTAATTACAACACAGAAGATGTTTTGATCTAGAAAGAAAGTAATTTTTCTTTAATGCCTACTAAATTAGGAGCTGCCCCTAATCGTACTAAAATTAGTGTCACCACTAAAGTACTGGTTTTGACTTCTGCTGACATCACAGCAACAACTACTGTAAAGCTAAAAATGAAGAAAATGGAATTTTCTTTTAGAATATTTTTTTAAATCTTTCTTATTTCTTGGGAAGCTCTTCCTCTGATTCTTCCCATCACTGGCTT